AGGACTTTACTGACTTTACCATAGTATGTCATAAATGGGTAAAACATCTCTGTCACATACACATTGGGGGAGATTGAACCCCCATATTCTAGGGCAGGGGAGGGGAACCACTGGCTCATAGGCGGTTAAGGCCTGCAGAATCCTTTCTGGCCCTGTCAAGGCAACCTTAGGCTGGATTTGAAATTCAATAAATCTGTAGCAGGCTAACTTTGAGTTGATAATTTTGTATGGCCTAAGAAATGATGTTATAAATATCCAAAAGGCCCTTGGCAGAAAAAAAAGGTTTTCCACCCAGTTTTCAAGAGTAAGAAAACAAAGGGAATTTTTTTTCTCTCTCAGTAAAGTTGTCATTGGTGAAATGGATTATTGAATTTAAGTCACCCTGTCGAGTAGCTACATCAGCTTGGTTTTGTTTGCAGATTGGAATTTGGCAACTTCATTTGAAAATGTTTTAAGGATTACCCAGCATCCTCTTCACCAAATTGTGTTTTTAGTCTGTGTACCAAATGACTTTGTGTCCACTGCTGTTGGAGCGAGTATTTGGCTGCATCTAGGAAAATGCAGCTCCATCAATGAGAGAATAACTGCACATACATCTTGGAAGGCTGGTTGTTTCCTCTTGATATAATACGGCCAGTTTTAAAACAATTGCATTGAAAATCATTAAAAAGGAATTCGGGAATTACTTTCAAAGTTCACAACCACTTCTAGGCTCGTGGAAGCCTTAGGCATATGGATCCCACATTAGGTAAACCTGTAATCTGTAACTTGCAAAGTAACCATAGGTATTTCTGTTCTTTCTCCAAAGTATAAAATAGTCTCCGCATGATTTTTTTTTTTTTTTAAGGATTTTAAAAATTTATTTAGGAGGTAGAGTTACAGAGAGAAGGAAAGAGAGATGCTGGTTCATTCCCTTAGTGGCTGCAACAGCCAGAGCTGGGCTGATCTGAAGCCAGGAGTCAGGAGCTTCTTCTGTCTCCCACGTGGGTGCAGGGGCCCAAGTACTTGGTCTGTCTTCCACTGCTTTCCCAGGCCATAGCTGAGCTGGATCAGAATTGGAGCATCCAGGACTTGAACTGGTACCCATATGGAATGCTGGCACCACAGGTAGAGGCCCAGTTCACTATGCCACAGTGCCAGCCCCCTCCATATACAATTCTTTAAGCTGCGTATGCACACCACAATTTGGCCTTAAACTTTAGTCTTTACTTTGCTTTTCTGTGGCTGGTCCCATTCCCCATATGCCCATGTATGATGACTTAGTATTTATTAAGCTTTTACTATTTAATGCACTGTAAGAATTAACAAGGTTTTTGACCTCCAAGGGTGCACAGCCAGGTACCCAGCATTACTTTAACACAAGGCAGTCTGCCCTAAGTTTCTTTTACCTCTGAAGTTGGTAGACCAGTTCAGAGGAGGAGAGGGGTTACCCGTGACCAGGTTATCAGGTGCAGGACATTAATGAATAAGTGTTTTTTTTTTTTTTTTTAATTTATGTGGGCAGCTCAAGATGAACTATTAACAAAGCTCAGTGGATGCTTTTGATTTTTTTTTTAAGATTTATTTATTTGAAAGTCAGAGTTACACAGAGAGGAGAGGGAGAGTGAGAGAGGTCTTCCATCCGATGGTTTATTCCCCAATTGGCTGCAATGGCTGGAGCTGCGCTGATCCGAAGCCAGGAGCCAGGAGCTTCTGGGTCTCCCACACGAGTGCAGGGGCCCAAGCACTTGGGCCATCTTCTACTGCTTTCCCAGGGCATTGCAGAGAGCTGGATCGGAAGTGGAGTGGCCGGGTCTCGAACCGGTGCCCATATGGGATACCAGCGCTTTGGCCAGGGTTTTAACCCGTTGTACTACAGTGCTGGCCCCTGAAGAATAAGATTTTTAAAAGGGGCTGGCTTTGTGGCACAGAGGTTTAAGCTGCTGCCTGTGATATGCATATCCCATATGAGCGCTGGTTTGATTCCTGGCTGCTCCATTTCCTACATACATAGCTCTCTGCTAATGCGCCTGGGAAAGCAGCAGAAGGTAGCCCCAATGCTCTCCATGTGGAGGACTCAGATGGAGTTCCAGGCTCCTGGCTTCAGCCTGGCCCATCTCCAGCCATTGTGGCCATTTGGGGAGTGAACCGATGGATAGAGGATCTCTCTCTCCTTCTTTGTCTATAGTTCTGCCTTTCCAATAAATAAATCTTTTTAAAAAATTCAAAATTATTAAAAATTCTATTTTTTCATTTATTTGAAAGGGTAGCAGAAAGAGTTCTTCCATCTGCTGGTTCACTCCCCAGATGCCTGAAAGTTGGGGCTGGGCAAGGCCAACGCCAAGGAGTGAGGAACAAAGTCCTGGCTTCCCATGTGGGTAGCAGGGACCTGAGTACTTGAGCCATTTGCCGCCTCCCAGGGTGCAAATTAGCAGGAATCTGGAATCAAGAGTGATGTCCTAACTGAATCCCAGGTACTCTGGTGTGGGATGTGGGCATCCCAAGCCCATATCCTCTGTGCCCCAACAATACCCCCCCCCCCCCTTTTAAGATTTATTTGAAAGGCAGAGTTAGAGGGAGAGATAGAGTGTGCGCATGCTAGAGAGTTCTTCCATCTTCTGGTTCACTTCCTAAATGGCCACAGTGATTTGAGCTGGCTCCAGGAGCCGGGAGCTTCATCCAGGTCTCTCATGTGGATGGCAGGAGCCCAAGGACTTGGACTATCTATCTTCTACTGCTTTCCCAGGCCATAGCAGAGAGCTGGATGGGAAGTGGTACAGTCAGAACTGGCACCCATATGGTGAGATGCTGGCACTGCAGGCGGCAGCTTTACCCTCTACGCCATAGTGCTGCTGCCCCCTCTCCCCTTTAAAGATTTTAATTACTCAAAGTAAAATCTTAAAAAAACAAAACAAAACAAAACAAAAAAACAGCTTACTGTTTCCTGTTGCTGGAAGGCATGACATTTTCACATTGTTCTTCATTGTCTAAGAGTTTGAAGCTGCTTAGGGAATTTTAAAACACTTTTTAAAAAAATGTCTATTAAAAAATCTTAACACACAGAGATGCACTTGCAAATGGTGTCACTTAATATCTTTTGAGGCTGACATCAGGTGCTTTACCTCCTATGCCATAATACTGGTCCAATAAAAGGGATTTTGAATTAAAACTACAGTGAGATGTCATTACACATCTACCAGAATGTTGAAATGTAAGACTATTAATACTAAGTGTCAGCGAGGAAATAAAATTGGAATTTGGCTGTATTGCCAACAAGAACACAAAATGGTACAGTCCCTTACCGTTCACAGGTAAGCAGTTTCACCATTTCTTTAAAACTAAACATACATTTAACATGTAACCCAGCAATCCCAGCTCCTGGCATGCAATCACATCCACACTAAGACTTGAATCGAGATGTTCAGTAGCAGCACTACTCATGACAACCAAAAACAAACAACAAAAATGTTGCTTATAATTAGTAAGCTATTAAGTATACTGTCAAAATGCAGCATTGCACATATCCATACCAAGCAATAGTAGAACTCCTGATACACCCAATGTGAGCGACTCTCACAGGGTGAAGATGAGCGAGAGCTCTGAAGCAGTCCTGATTGGTTCCAATTAGATGAAATGTAAATGAAATTTGACAAAATGCAAAGCTGTATTGATAGAAAGCAGATCAGCAAACCTACAGCTAAAATGTTATTAATGGTTACCACGTTCAAATGTGCATTCAACACATACTGAAGGCACTAGCCATTACAATAAAGCAAGAAAAAAGAAAAGGCATACTGACTGGAAACAATGAAGTAAAATTGTTTTATTCTCCGAAAACATCATCAACACCTATGGAGTAACCCAACCTTAACTCAACTCTAGTTGAGAACAGATATTCTTGCAGACCGCTATAAGCCACACTGTGTGGGTATACAGAAACTCCAAACCCCAGTTCGGCGATAGAGGGTTTAATGAATCTGCACACTAGCTGCAGGCAAGTCCTCAACTTCACCTCTTCACGTAAAAGCCCAACAATGCCTCCATTAATTATAATGCTTACATTTCCATCTCCAACCAGACTTAGGATGTATGTAACATATATGATGATTTAGTGGACATATACACTCATCTCTTGAATATTCATAACCTTTTCCAAAAAATATGGAATGTGTATACTTTCCCTAAAAGCAAGCCCTATAAAATTTGTAACTCTTGTAATTTGTAATTTCTTTTTTTTTTTTTTTTTTTTTTTTTTGACAGGCAGAGTGGACAGTGAGAGAGAGAGACAGAGAGAGAAAGGTCTTCCTTTTGCCGTTGGTTCACCCTCCAATGGCCGCCGCTGCAGCCGGCGCACCGCGCTGATCCGATGGCAGGAGCCAGGAGCCAGGTGCTTTTCCTGGTCTCCCATGGGGTGCAGGGCCCAAGCACCTGGGCCATCCTCCACTGCACTCCCTGGCCATAGCAGAGAGCTGGCCTGGAAGAGGGGCAACCGGGACAGAATCCGGCGCCCCGACCGGGACTAGAACCCGGTGTGCCGGCGCCGCAAGGTGGAGGATTAGCCTATTGAGCCACGGCGCCGGCCCGTAATTTGTAATTTTTTTCTCTCTCTCTCTCTCTGCCTCTCCTCTGTGTAACTCTTTCAAATAAATAAATCTTAAAAAAATGTTTAGCAAGATTGTAAGATCCTAAGTCAGTATTCAAAAATAAATTACACTTTGACATACTAGCAAAAATAGTGGAAATTGAAATTTAAGAACCAGTACTGAAGTAGGCATTTGATTTAACACTAAGGTTTCAGTTAAGACACATCCCATATCAGAGTACCTGGGTTCAATACCCCATTTCAATTTTCCACCAGTGCAAACCCTGGGAGGTAGCAGGTAATGGCTCAAGTAGTTGGGTCCCTGTCACCCATGAGGGAAATTTTAATTGAATTTCTAACTCTTGCCTTCAGCCCCAACTCAGCAGCTATTTGGGGAGTAAGCCAACAGATAGACTTTCTAATTTTAAAAAATTAAAAATAGTATTGGTAGCCTCACTGTAAATGCTTGCAAAGTATGAGTGAATGCTGTAGAAATCACAGTGGAGTCAAAAGCTTGTGCTTCTCCTGTGGTTGTCTTATTTCGTACCTGCTGCATTAAAAAAATTATTTATTTATTTGAAAGTCAGAATTAGAGGTAGAGACAGAGATCTTCCATCCTCTGATTCAATCCCCAGGTAGTAGCAGTGGCCAGAGCTGAGCTTGGCCAAACCCAGGAGTTTCACCCGAGTCTCCCACATGGGTGACAGGGGTCCGAGTACTTTGGCCATCTTCTGCTGCTTTTCCCAGACCATTAGCAGGGATCAGATCAGAAGTGGAGCTGTTGAGACTTGAGCCGGTGCCCACATGGGATGCTGGCATCCGAGTCTATGGCTACACCTGCTACACCACAATGCCTGCCCCATCTGCGACCTATTTTAAGAAAGATTCACACGAAGGAAACTTCCCAAAACCATGCCTATCCACTTTGGTTGTGTAGGAATGCTCCTTTGCAACAATAGAGGAGTCAATTTGTTGCAATAAGAAATGTTTTTGCAACTTGTCCAGTTGCTCAGCCAAAACAGTGTTTGAAGTTAAAATTTACATCATGAAAGAAACAGAAGCGTGCCAAGAGAGCTGGACTTTCCAAGTTACCTGACCTTAAAGACACAGAAGCTGTTCAGAAGTTCTTTTTTTTTTTTTTTTTTTTTTTTAAGATTTATTTTGTTTATTTGAAAGATAGAGTTACAGAGAGAGGTAGAGACAGAGAAAGAGGTGCTCCATTTGCTGGCTCACTCCCCAGAGGGCCGCAATGGCCGGAGCTGTGCCGATCCGAAGCCAGGAGCCAGATCCTCCTCCAGGTCTCCCATGCAGGCACAGGGGCCCAAGGACTTGGGCCATCTTCCACTGCTTTCCCAGGACATAGCAGAGAGCTGGATCGGAAGAGGAGCAGCCGGGACCAGAACCGGCACCCATATGGGATGCCGGCGCTTCAGGCCAGGGCCTTAACCCACTGCGCCACAGCGCCAGCCCCTCAGAAGGTCTTCATTGAAGAAATACAGCTTCGTGAAGAGTTTCTAGCTCAAGGTGAATGAGAAGGCTGTGGACCATCTCAGAAAGGCAGTTGCCATATGTGGACAGTCATAGCAGTTACCACGAGTGTTACAGCGTCCTCTTCCAACACCAGTGTCCCATATGCTATTGACAATACTCCTCACAATAAGAGAATCGCTGACTGCTCAGAGCTTGGCTGAAGATGATGTGGAATGATGCACAAATGTCAACATAATAAAATCTCAATTTGAAATTGAAAAACTAAATAATAAAAATGAAGGGGCCAGTTTTGAAGCACAGCAGGTTAGGTCACCACTTGTGACACCAGCATCCTATGCTGGTTCGAGTCCCAGCTACTCGACTTCTGATTTAGCGTCTTGTTAATGCACCTGCAAAGGCAGCAGCAGAAGACCCCTGCTCTCTGATTTTGACTTTCAAAAAAATAAATCTTAAAAACAAACAAACAAACAAAAAAACAAAACTAGAATATACAACTTTCTAGAATAAGAAGAAAGGGGCTGGTGTTGTGGCTAGCAAGTTGGACTGCTGCCTGCAATCCAGCGTTTTATATGAGTTCCAGTTCCAGTCTCAGCTGTTCCACTTCTGATTTCAGCTCCCTGCTAATGAGCCTGGTAAAGCAGTACAGAATGGGATGAGCACATAGGCCACGCCCACCACGTGGGAGACCTGGATGGAGTTCTCGGCTCCTGGCTTCAGCCTGGCCCAGTCCCAGTTGTTGGGGCCATTTGAGAGTGAACCAGCAGATGAAGATTATCTCTCTCCCTCTACCTCTCTATAACTCTGCCTTTTAAGTAAATAATACATAAATAAATATATAGTTTTTTTTTTTTTACACAAAATATTGAGCATACTTGGTTTGGCAAAGTTGTGTTAAAGAAGCATGAACAATTTTTAGAAAATTTGAGAAGCAGGGACTGAGAGACCAAGAGACAGAGAGCTCCCCATCTTCTGGTTCACCCTGAAAATGCCTGCAACAGTTGGGTTTGGGCCAGGGCAGAGTTGGGAGCTGGGAACTCAATCTAGGTCTCCCATGCGAGTCGCGGCCCTATCACGTGAGCCTTCGCGGCTGTCTCTCAGTCTGCATCAGCAGGAAGCTGGGAAGGAGCTGGAGTGAGGAGTACAGATGAGGCAGTCAATCCAGTGTAGGACATAGAACCTTTTTTTTTTTTTTTTTTGGACAGGCAGAGTGGACAGTGAGAGAGAGAGAGAGACAGAGAAAGGTCTTTCTTTGCCGTTGGTTCACCCTCCAATGGCCGCCGCAGCTGGCGCATCGTGCTGATCCGAAGCCAGGAGCCAGGTGCTTCTCCTGGTCTCCCATGGGGTGCAGGGCCCAAGCACTTGGGCCATCCTCCACTGCACTCCCGGGCCACAGCAGAGAGCTGGCCTGGAAGAGGGGCAACCGGGACAGAATCCGGCGCCCCGACTGGGACTAGAACCTGGTGTGCCGGCGCCGCAAGGCAGAGGATTAGCCTAGTGAGCAGCGGCGCCGGCTGACATAGAATCTTAACACCTGGCCTAAGTGTCTACTCTAGCCTGAACTTATTAAAAAATCAATAAATTTAACTCTAGTGACATTAAAACCTTCCGCTCATCAAAAACACTAATGAAATGAGGCCACAGACTGAAAGAAATTATTTTTAATGCATATATCCAAAAATATCTTTGCCTCTAGAATAAAGAACTTAAATCTCCATAAGAAGATAAAACATTCCTGCTGAAAAATGAGCAAAAGATATAAAAAGAGACTTCATTATGCAAGTGACAAATAAGTACAAGAAAAGATACTGAACATTAGCCATCAGGGAAACAAAGATACCATTGTACATGCTAATATTAAAAAGAATGATAGTACCAAGTGTTGATGGAAATGTGGAGTAACTGGGGATTACAGGCCTAACTTGCTACACAAGCATCTGATATGGGTGCTGGTTTGAGTCCCAGCTGCTCCACTTGCCATCTAGCATCCTGCTAATGTACCTGGGAAAGCAATAGAGGATGGCCCAAGTACTTGGACCCCTGCCACCCATTTGGGTTGGAGACCCAAATGGAGTTCCAGGCTGTTGCCTTTAGCCTGGCCCAGCTTTAGCCTGGCTGTTGCAGTCATTTGCAGTCATTTCTTTCTTTCTCTCTCTTTCTCTTTCTCTCTCTCTCTCCTTCCTTCTTTCCTTTCGCCTTTCCTTTATTTTTTTAAAGATTTATTTATTTGAAAGTCAGAGTTACACAGAGAGAGGAGAGGGAGATGAAGAGGGAGCCTTTCATCCGATGGTTCACTCCCTAGTTGGCTGCAATGGCTGGAGCTGCGCTGATCTGAAGCCAGGAGCTTCTTCTGGGTCTCCCATGTGGGTGCAAAGGCCTAAGGACTTGGGCCATTTTCTGCTTTCCCAGGCCATTGCAGAGAGCTGGATCGGAAGTGGAGCAGCCGAGTCTCATCCATATGGGATGCGGGTGCTTCAGGCCAGGGTGTTAACCCGCTGTGCCACAGCACCAGTCCCTGGGCAGTTTCTAAAATTTTTAAGTACTGAGTATACACTTACCCGTATATCCCAGCCATTCCTCCTGTAGTATTTACCCAAGAGAAATACAAGCATATATCCACATATAACCTTGTACAGAAGTGGTCCTTTTTTGATAACCAAAAACTAATAACAACCCAAATGCTCATCAACAAGTGAGTGGATCAATAAGCTGTGATACAATAGTATAGTGGAATAGTACTAATCAATTAAAAATAAACTATTGATATTTGCAACATGGATGACTCTCAGAATTAATATACTAAGTGAAAGAAGGCAGCTTCCTCTAAAAATGTATATTTACAACTAATTTAAGACTTAGTTATTTATTTGAAAGGCAGAGTTAGAAAGAGAAGAGAGGTCTTCCATTCACTGGTTCGCTCAAATGGCTGCAACGACAAGGCTGAGCCAGGCCGAAGCCAGGAGCTGCTTGCAGGTCTCCCATGTGGGTGCAGGGGCTCAAGGACTTGGGCCATCTTCCACTGCTTTCCCAAGCACGTTAGCAGGAGCTGGATTGGAAATGGAGCATTCGGTACTTGAACAGGCCAGCATATGGGATGCCAGTGCCGCAGTGGCAGCCCCACAGTTCTTTTTTAATCTTCAGTGGCACAAAGTGTCAATAATTCCCTAGAGATGGTGAAGGATGGATTATAAAGAAATACCAGGGAACTTTGCAAGGTACTGTACAATGGGTATGTCCATCATTATAATTGTGGTAATGGATTCACAGCTGGATACCTACAGAATGTTCATGGAAGTGGGATTAAAAGATAAGTTCATTTTGAGGCAAAAAGTCTTTCAAATCCATACATCCAAAGAAGTTTACAGAAAAATGCCTATTATGAAAAAAACTGCATAGATCTCAAAATTTTTGCACCATAATGAACTTATTGTTTAATTCCTCTTTTCTAGGAACTTACTTAAGTCCACTAGTTTATACGTTTTAGATGTAGGCAGGAGTAAACATTGTGCTGCAGTGGGTTAAACTGTCACTTGGAAGTGCCTATACCCTATGTCAGGACTGCATAGGTTCAAGTCCCACTTCCCCTCTGACCCAGCTTCCTGCTAATGTGCACCCTGGGAGGCATGAGATGATAGTTCAAGTACTTGGGTCCCTGCCACCCATGTGGGAGACCCAAATGGAATTCCTGCTTCCTGATGTCAGTATGGCCTACCTTGGGCTTTTGCGGGTGTTTGGGAAGATTTCTCTCTTCCTTTCAAATAAAAATAAGCTTCAAATTAGACACACACACACACACACATACACACACACAGAGAGAAAACTGCTAATTATATGTCAATTATACCTCAATGAAGGTCAAAATTTCATCAGATAGGGGCTGGTGCCATGGCTCACCTGGCTAATCCTCTGCCTACAGTGCCGGCATCCCATATGGGCTCCAGGTTCTAGTCCCGGCTGCTCCTCTTCCAGTCCAGCCCACTGCTGTGGCCCAGGAGGGCAGTAGAGTGGCCCAGGTGCTTGGGCCCCTGCACCAGCGTGGGAGACCAGGGGGAAACACCTGGCTCCTGGCT